TTTTATGCAAAATAAATTGAGTAGAAGAAGTTAAAACTCTAAATGTTCACATTACTTGTTGCATTCAGTGGACAGTCATCATTCAGTCTGTGGCTGCAGGCAGATTAAAATTTTCTGTGCAGAACATGAAGGTGAGTGTTGTGTTGCTGCAGGTACAGTGAGGAGAAAGGCTGGGAGCTGCTGTGGTTGTGCACTGGGTTGTTTCCTCCCAGTAACGTGCTGTTGCCGCACATCCAGCGCTACCTCCAGTCCAAGAAGCACCACCCGCTGTCTGGAGACTGCATGCAGAGGGTGCACAAAGCGCTACGGTAACACCTCAGACTTTCAGCCTGAAACAATCATCGTATTTGGTGTTGACATTTTTTTTTTTTTTTTTCAACCAGTTTTGCTGCTTTTTGTCATCATTAACAGAAATGGTTCCAGGAAGTACCCTCCTCATTTGGTGGAAGTGGAGGCCATCCAACATAAAACGACCCAAATCTTCCATAAAGTCTACTTCCCCGACGACACAGACGAGGTCGGACACACAAGCCTGCAGGTGTAAACTTTCTCTGTAAATAAACGTGTTTGAAAAATGAGTCTTCGTGTTGGTCTCACACCTGCAGGCCTTCGAGGTGGAGTCGAGCACCAAGGCGAAGGATTTCTGTCAGAACATTTCCACCAGACTGCTGCTCAAATCTCCCGAAGGCTTCAGCCTCTTCGTCAAGATCTCGGACAAGGTCAGAGGTCAACGATGGTTTCTCAGAACCTCAGAGTATTACAGCTTTACTGGTTTCAGGAGGTTTTCCTCAAACCAGTACACAACTCTAAATAAATACTGGGATTATTAGATGTCTGTACTAGTCATCACTATTGTTCCTTTACAGTTTGTTCCACCTTAACCACAAAACACGTCCTCAACAGAAGGAACTTGCAGTTTTTACGCGAAAATGTAAAGTTTCTAAATACAAATACATTTAAATGTCTTAAGGACACAGTTATGATTCTGTGTGCAGCTTACAAACCATTTCTGTAAGTTTCTAAAATTACCGCTATATGGTCGAGTAGATGTCACTTTTATATTGCAATTGAATTAATTTTTTTAAATTCTTTTGATTGTTAACAGTTTAAACCATTGCCTCTTAAAATTGATGAATTATTGCTTTTGAGTCTTGCATTTAACACTTCAATGATTACAGCTGCTCTCTATAACAACACAAATCGTTCATTCACAAAGTTTAATTTCTTGATTAACTTCACGCTGATGTTTCTGTGTGTGCCCTCTGCAGGTGATCAGTGTACCTGAGGGAGATTTCTTCTTTGACTTCGTCAGACATTTAACGGACTGGATCAAGAAATCTCGGCCGGCTAAAGACGGTCGGTACCGTGTTTAAAATATCTTTGGGTTGACTTCAGGACTTTTAAAGCAAAAAAGCAAAACTGTAAAATATTAATAAGAAGTTCCCATCAGACAACTGCAGGGGCTGTCTGTGTACATGTGACTACAGCAGGACTGAAATATTACCCAGGATTCCTTTGGGTTGACCTCTCTCTAATCTGATGTATCGTTACTGTTTGCATCATTTAGACTGGTTCGTTTCAAGTACTTTACAATATTTTTTAAGTAACAAACTGCAGATTTCGTGCTGATCAAACAGTTTCACAAAACTTCTCGGTGAAACCTTCATGACAGATCTTTGATTAGAGCGCACACAATAAACAGGGGAAATTATAAGATGTTTTTCACAACACACACCGGCTGTGTGTGTGTTACAGACTTGTGTTCAGAGGAAATAAGACAAGTTGATTACATTCAAAGCAAAAACAGAAAATGGAGAGGAGTAGGCATTCCTGCTGTGTAATATACAGATGTATGCATGTAGCCACTGTGGGGTCAGTTGTTGGTCAGTGAAGCTGAGCGTTTGTTGCCATCATGGCTCTTTGAAGGTACTGGTTTGTTATCCTCTCCACTCTAATGAGAGTGATTTATAAACTGACCATCACGTGGTAAAAATACAGCAGCGAGTAAGATCAGCCAACACGTTTCAAAAGGTGCAGCTTTTACTTTGAAGGCCAACAGTCTGTTTCTGGCTTGTGTTAACGACCAGCGGCTGCCGGTGGCCAAGCTGACCATCGAGCATCATTATCATCCTGATCACCACACGCCCAGAATGGTGGACAAGTTCACGTCGTGCAGTGTTTTCAAAACTTAAACAGAGATGGAAGAAAAAATGACAAGATAGAGAAGTTTAAACTTAATTTCTTGGACTCGGGTGACTTCTGAAAATGTTTCTTCGTCATTGGCTGTTCGGTGAATATTTGTTGGCTGAGAAACAGTAAAAACACTCCAGCTGAACTCCTGCGTGTTTGTGCTGAATACACCGTTAGTTTGTTGGGGTTTGCTTAACTGCAAAATTACACGGAATCACAGTTCATGCTGACCTTCGACCTTCCATCTCGTCGTACAGGAATCGTACCCTCTCTGACCTATCAGGTGTTCTTCATGAAGAAGCTGTGGACTAACACGGTTCCAGGGAAGGACTCCTTCGCTGACTCCATCTTCCACTACTACCAGGTCAGTTTTACCAGAGACGCACTGAGAACGACTCGGCCTGCATGTTTCAGGACTTATATCTGACCCCAGACTTCCTGATCCACGTGCCAGTCGTTACTGTCAGTCCGACTGGAAACGCAGATCAGTTAAACACAGTTTCCTGTGTAAGACGATAGCCATGCACGTGCTTTCCACGTTAAGATTCTGTTTTAGTGGGGCACATATCATGTAATCACATTATTTCCTATCTGTCTGAGACAACAGCGTCTACTTACTACTGGACAATCCCTTGGATCTTATTCTGAAAGTTCAGCTGCAGGCCGTCAGGTCGGGCTCGTGTCTCTTAGCTGCAGAACCCCAGAAACTGCAGCAGGTGGAGAACTAGAGCTGCTATGCAGAGCTCACCAATGCTGGTTAGAGGAGCTAAAAGTACTAACAGCACAGCAAGACTGAGGAGTCGTGTTAAATAATTACCCACAAAGATTATATTTGCCATAAATGAGCAGCCCCCTGTCCACAGAAGAACTCATTGGAGAGGAAGCTGATTATTCCTGTTACATGTGCCACACAGTACATATCAGTATATATTAATCAATTTATTTTGAAAAAGCATGGGCACATCTGTACACCTCCATGATTGTTCAAAATGACAGCGTCCTCGTCCAGTGATGGAAACGTTCATTTTAAAGATGGTCTTTGTGTGCGGTTTCATTTTGTCACCAACAGTTTAAGGAAGCGTCTCTTTGTTCTCTCACCATCTCTGCACTGAATTAGGAGCTGCCTAAATACTTGCGTGGCTACCACAAATGTTCACGAGAGGAGGTTTTCCAGCTCGCAGCGCTTATCTATCGCGTCAAGTTCGAAGATGACAAATCCCATTTCCCCACAATTCCCAAGATGCTTCGGGAGCTGGTTCCCCAGGACCTCATCCGCCAGATGTCACCAGATGACTGGAAGAGGGTAAAACTCCCCCAACAAAACAAAAAACAAGCTTTTTAAAAATTACTTAAAAAAGTTACTGAAGTCAGACGTTTGTACAGACTGATCAGTGTTTCTGCTGAGATCATCTAAAGTTTGACAAATCAGCTGCTTTGAGAAATGAACAGCTGGTGTGTGTGTGTGTGTGTGTGTGCGTGTGTGTGTGTGTGCGCGCGTGTGTGTGTGCGTGCGCGCGTGTGTGTGTGTACACGCAGTCTGTTGTTGCATACTTCAACAAGCAGGCCGGGAAATCGAGGGAAGAGGCCAAACTGATGTTTCTGAAGGTCCTCTACAAATGGCCGACCTTTGGCTCCGCCTTCTTTGAGGTTAAGGTAAATGCACCTGAGCTTGTCACCTCCACAGTGTAACCTGAGTGTTTGGCTGATGCCAGGAAGGACGAATGTCTAACATCACCAAAAAATGTTCACATTAAATTAAATGTGTTTTTGTTTTGAGGCAAATGTGTAAATAACAAAGTTTGTTCAAGCAATCAGCGACCTCGTGCTGTTTCCGGGGCAACTGGGGCTTAAATCTCCGAATGTTCTCATTTCAATAGAAACCGACTTTATCCTGCAAGATCTCCAGTATTTTTCAGAGCCACAGTCTAAAAAATGATCAGAGGAAAAGACCGACAAAGTCTTTGTCAAACGTCTCGGGACTTCTCGAACTCCCACCTCAAAGTAAAAAATAACGAAATTGGAATAAACGCAGACAGGTGAAGCATGCAGACTTTACTGTAGGCTGATTTACAGAAAAATAAGGCAATAAATAATTATTCTGCCATTTTTCTTCAGGCTGCTTCAGTAGTTGTGGATGATCTACATCGAATTGACTACAGATTGTGTTAGTGGCTCAGTTAGATTTACTTGTTTCAGTTAGTTTTTATTAGCACTCTGCCAGCTGTTTACAGCTGTGAACATGAAGGAGCAAAAGAGGGATGATGAAGGATGGAAGGATCAGTGCTGTGTAGTCTGAGCCGCCATCTGAAACACCTGATTGCACAAACAGAGTCCACATTTATGCTACAAACTACAGAGAAACGCGACAGTTTTACACGTAAGGTTAGAGATGATTAGTGAGTATTTACCCATCCTAACATGTGGCTTCTGTCTTTTAGCAAACCACAGAGCCCAACTACCCGGAGATCCTGCTGATCGCCATCAACAAGCATGGAGTCAGTCTCATTGACCCCAAGTCAAAGGTTCGTTAATAATCATAACTCCCGGCATACGTATCGGTTATGTTTTAGCCGCTGCGCTCGTTAACCTGTTAAGCCGGTGCAGTAGCTTTGATGACCTCTGTGTCTGCAGGACATCCTGACCACTCACCCCTTCACCAAGATCTCCAACTGGAGCAGCGGGAACACCTATTTCCACATCACCATCGGCAACCTGGTCAGAGGAAGCAAACTGCTGTGTGAGACCTCACTGGTGGGTGCCAGCAATGAACACTTACA